TTGCCAACCTTGACAGGTGCTCGCTTGCAGCAGTCGTTCCAAAAGTCTGTGGTGTTAAACAGGCATCTTGTTGATGTATGTGGAGCCGTCGTACACCCGGTCTCGTCAGCTAAGAGTGCAGTGAGCCAGGACTGTGCTTGGATGGGTGACCACCATGCACAACAAGTTGTTATAGGCTGCAAGGATACGTGATGGGCAGATTAGGGCAGTGCAACACAATCCTTTGTGCATTGTACTTATTATATGCTCCCATTTCTATGTCTCCTACTGTCATCAACCCCCACTGACCAGCACGGTGAAGTTTGATAAAATGACCCCTCATGACCCATAAGGCGTGGGGAGGCCCTCATCCAGCAGTGGATCGACACAAAACTGTGCATCTACATCAGCAAGTGGTCTTGTAGGGCCCAAAGACGGTACTAATGACTGTGCCTTCAGTCAAATTCCAAAAGTGACTTTTGCCTTAACTTGGAGATTACAACGTTTTAGCAGAAACCTTTGGCTGTGATGCTCCCTGTTGGGCACAAGTGGAATTAGTTCTATAGCTCGGGCCAACAACAGTCGTTAAGTTGTAAACCGTTACCATTTGAATTACAATTACAAAAGCTCTTCCCAAAAAAATCAACAAACAGCGCTATCAAATGGAGCCGACACGTTTCTTGCATGGAGAAAGTTCATTATGAGTGGTCAGGGAAGGAGACCATTTGGGAGGGAATTCCAAAGTGGAGGAGTGCGAGGGCAAGAAGCAAGACATTAGTGTGGATATATCGTTAAGTACAGCCGGCGCCGCCTGTTTGCCTAAATCAGTGGTTCCAAACCTTTACTGCAGTCTTGCACCCCCCAGAAAGGGCATCTCACACCCCAAGGGGGTCCAGCGTACACCCCAGGTGAAGAACCACCGGCCTCAAAACACACGCCACCCCTCCTGGATCACAGCAGCCTCAACTCCACGCCACAAATACAAATGAAGGCGAGAGATGGAAGAGTGAGTCTGGACTGCGGCCGATGTCGAAAATAAACAGCGACCCTACGAACATATTCTTAGGTTTTTTTTCGGTAAAGTCACGTAGGTAAAAAATTGAAATGAATTAAAGTAAAATAAAAATAAAATAAAAATCACGACGTTTCGGAGGCAACACAAGCTTCCGTCTTCAGGTGAAACCGTCACAGCACGATTGCTCTATCAAGATACAGCCTAAATCAGTGTATCAAGATACAGCAATCGTGCTGCGACGGTTCCACCTGAAGACGGAAGCTTGTGTTGCCTCCGAAACGTAGTGATTTTTTATTTTATTTTACTTTTATTAATTTTAATTTTTTACCTACGTGACTTTACCTAAAAAACCTAAGAATATGAATCCTTGCAGTCACGAAAGCTTCAAATCTAGAATTAGACCCTACGAACATCGAACCTCCCGGTGTCAACCTTCCACGCCGACAACGGTCGACCATCAACCGAATCGGGACCGGGCCACGTGGCTGATGCGATGACCCGATGATGCCACAAACGGCGCATCGAAGATTCCCTGCCTGCGAAGTGTGGCCACGAATGACGAAACGTCGACGGGCATCGTAAACACTACGACTCCGCTGCCGGCGCTGATGTCTTCAGTCATTTAAAAATTAACCCGTAAAAACAAAGTTTTCACTATAAATCCTTTATATGCGTGGCATCGGGGCGGCTCGAATCCTCTCGTCCTCTGGCTTGAGATGGCTGCCACCTATGGGTCAGATGATTGTCTGCCAGCATTAAGCAATTGGTAATTAAATATAAAAAAAAAATTCCCTAAACAGTGTAAAATTTTGGAAAATTTTTTTATCACGAAAATGCATTGTCACGCACAACGAGTCTGTGTGCAAAATGTCAGCTCGATTGGATCACGGGAAGTGGGTTAAAAAACGACCGAAAGATTTGCACGGTCCTAAGCAAGCAAGTGAACTTAATATAAAGGATTTAAAAAGAGGAATGGGCGAAATCCACCCTGCTTCTGAACAGACTATTGAGTGGATATTCATAACTCGCCTTTTTCCCATCCAAGGACGGGTGTATTGCAGTAAATCTGAAACTTAAGCAAGCCAAAAGCAGACCGCGACGTGATTTTCATTGCATCCATTCGTGTGCAATTTGTGAGGGCGCGGTGACACAGACCTATTTCATTTTAAGGTTATAATCCCTTATTTATCATGACGTCCTTTTTACTTTGATGTCTCAACAGCGTTACGGAGATCGCGTGACGTGAGGGTTCTACAGTCTGCATTATATACTGCCAGTACGCTTACTCAGCTTAATAACCATTGCTACAGTCTACATTATAGACTACCAGTACGTTCACCGAGCTTAAAAACCAGGCTACAATCTACATCATAGACTTCCAGTACACTCACACAGCTTAATAACCATTGCTAGTCTACATTATAGACTGCCAGTACACTCACTCTGATTAAGAACCAGGCTACAGTCTACATTAGTGTTTTTATTATTATTTCTATTCACTTTATTTATTCTTCTTATTTTTCTATCTACGTGACTTTACCGAAAGAACCAAAGAATATTAATTCCTGCAGTCACGAAAGTTAAGTCAAAATTCTTGGCTCATTATAGTAGGTAATAATAATGGTGGGGGGGGGGGTCCATTTGGAGGACGTCGCCTGCTCATAATTATTAATGAGGGGGGCTGTTCGATGTGGAGTGACGTCACTTGCTCATGATTATTAGTGAGGGGGGAGTATTTCATATTGAGTGACGTCACCCGCTCATTATTATTGAGGGATGTCCATTTGGAGGACGTCACCTGCTCATGAATATTAATGAGGGGGGCTGGTCGATGTGGAGTGACGTCACGAGCGTTAAGCACAGACATTCCTGGATGATTATAATAGTTATATGGTAACAATTTTGATTGTGGTTAGCCCTTTGTTCATGCACTGCTGGGTGAAGGCCATTGTTTGGCCATACTGTGCTTCACCACGATGGTGTCAGTTTGCGGTTGGATTGGGTGTTTGGTGACCAGGACCGGTTAAAAAACATCCTCAAGATATTCACCAAGTAAATGTGCAACGTTGGGCCCAACGTCGTCACGTGGTTGCCCCAGAGTTGGCTCAACGTTCCATGTTTTTTTTTGCTGCATTTGCCAATGCGTTTCTGCAACTTTGCACCTCTGGGGTTAAAATCCGTAAATTATGAGAAAACCCCCATATCATAACAGCATAATCACCCGCGCTGAAAACCCATGTGTCAAACAAGATGGAAAATGCGTCAAAAGGACAGAGTCTTTGAGCATTATGCAAAACAATTGCATTGTGGCACTTCAGGAAATAGCGATGATTTGTTTGCATATGTACAAAGATGTTTAATACACATGCGTGTTGTCTTGTTTGAAGCCTCTGGAGTTGCAACGGTATTGGCCAAAAGGGAGAGTAGATAGTAAGTCAACGTTTTGAAAGGCTTGCCATCTTTCACCCACCTCTGCGGATCTCAGGCTTTGATTGCTTTTACAGGTTTTGTTTAACATAGATCACGACGGTGGTTTTAACTGAATTAAACATTGCTGTACGGCATGGTATTCCCGCTGTTCATCACAGCACTTGGCTAAACGGAGTTAACCTAAATTTTCATTTAAAGCTTTCGTGACTGCAGGGATTCATATTCTTGGTTCTTTTGGTAAAGTCACGTAGAAGGGAAAAAATAAAATAAAAAAATAAAAATATAAAACAATAAAAATTCTCACGTTTAGACTGCAACGCTAGCAATCATCATCATGTGTGATGATCATCATCAGGTGTGATGACGATTGCTTGTGTTGCAGTCGTAACGTCGTGATAATTTTTATTGTTTTATTTTTTGTATTTTTATTTATTATTTTATTATTTCCCTTCTACGTGACTTTACCGAAAGAACCAAGAATATGAGTTAACCTAATTGTTACATGTGAATACATATAAAACGCATTTACCCACAGAAGCCTCATCGAGTCTCAATGCTCTCGGGAGGGTCCTGCATTGAGATATTCGGCCACTTTCTATTCACGTGCGTTTGGATTCCCTTCCAAAAACGAGAGTCTGCTACGCCTCACACACGCGGGATGGGGCGACACATTCGGCACTGTCACCTCCTGTCCACCTCGCCGCCCGCTCAGCCTACAACACCTGGCAAGCCACGGGCTGGTGATGCATCCATCACCGAATAACTCAGCTCAATTCTATTGCCGAGATTCAGCAGGAGGCATTCCTGTGGTTGTGCTGCCCTCTGCCGTTGGTCCTGTGGCTCTGTCACAGCGGACGGTGGGGGCATTAAAACATTTCTGCTAAGTGCGGCACTGTATAATGAACAACAGGACAGAGGAAACATTGAAAGGCTAGCACAAATGTAGAGTAAAATGGGGACGTGACGTCAGGTGTGCCATTCAGTGCGATGACGTCACGTCTCCGAGAGTACTTAAGGGATACCCCGTGACGAAAGCGGGGTCACTGTGGGAACGGGACGAGTAAGCAGGGTGAAGAGGGAACCAGGGGTAGAGAGAGGGATCGAATAGTGAGTCTGGGGAGAAGCCGGTGGTAGCCGTAGAGGTGCTTCTCTCTCCGGTCGGTGGAGTCGGCAGAGTCCCCGATCCGACACGAGAGAGACTGGAGCTAGCCGGCAGGGACCCGGACTCAGAGTAGGACCCCTAGCCCCTGGGAGTTGTGCGCCCTGCTGTGTAGTATTGAAAAGCTTTAATAAACCCTGGCGGAAGCCCTTAAATTACCTCCGTCTCCGAGTACGTCCGTTGGAACTTCTCTACGCAAGAATGAGAACTTAACCCATATATTTATCCTTGCAAATTGTGAATTTGCGCATGTCTTTTATTTAAACTTCAAATGTCAGCGAACCATGGGCGATTTCAAAACGTAGAACTTCTTAATGCCCGTCATCTGGTTGAGTAATTGGAAAAAAGGCATCGCGTACCTGGGGGCATGAATGCCTTTAAATACATACAAACACATATACACACTGAAACACAACGTGATTGTAAACTCGTTTAATAATAAAAAAAACATTATTCTTTTCGCAACAGGTCCACATTTTAAAACATCAGAGCTGTACTTTAAAACCCGACAGAAGCATGTACAATTGGAGGTAAATGCTTCCATTCACTTGACATAACATTTGGCAAGTACTCCTAGTCAAGAGTGTTATGTTAATGTACAACCATTTCGTGGGATGGTCACGGGAAGGCCTTTTGTGCGATTAATAAGGCCGTGCCCGCTACGTAATTGGTTCATCTGCATGCACAAGATGAAGAAGACACACGTGCCGTACAGAATCACGGGAAAACACGCGCACAACACCTTGTGCGCCTAAAAATGCGCTCCCTTGATTAGAGGTCATTCCACCAGCTGTTACATGAGCAAGTTAACGAAGAGCTGCACCCATTACCACCTACACCCAGAGCAGCCCTCCATACACACTGTGGCGGCGAGGCGTGCAGCCGGGTTGAACGTGGCTTCACGAAATCCGGTCACTGATGACAAGGCTGCCAAGGGCAATTGCCGAGCTGAGCATTGTCGAGTGTTGTTTTGAGAGTTCAACTATGAAACTATAACATTTGTTTTTATTTTACAAGGTAACGCCCATTGAGCTATATAGCTATTTTTAGGAAGTGACATGGCCACACATAATAGCTCAATGAAGTGGCTTATGTGGAGATTTATAGCAGCCAAATACGCTGAACGTATGTTTCTAAATGTGGAGGGGAAAACCGGAGGACCCGGAGAAAAATCCACGCGACCACGGGGAAGATCACACAGACTCCAAATATACAACAGGCGCCAGGGTTTGGATTGAATCCACGACCTCCTGCATATCAGGACGAGGGAGTTAACATCTTGCCATCGTGGTGTCTCGCATCAATGATCACAGCTCCAAAGAACTACAGAGCTGAACCCTCTCCAGCATTTACAGTGGCTGTAAACTGGGCCTAAAAGCAGCAACTTTAAAATAGCGGAGTGACAACAACGAAACACGGGTTTTGTCCCACGCCTTCATCAAAATGTGGGATGTTTGGTCAGCTCATGATTGCCTCCTCCTTGCACAGACACTGACTGTACTATGCACACATCCTTTCCATACCAACTGTGCCCTAGCGGAGTGACCCAGAGTGGCATGATCTGTACGAGTTGGAATCTAGGCAAGGTTGGAGAGGTGAGTCAAGGTTAGGATTGATTCAGATGTAAGCAATACAAATGAAAATCGTACTTGAATATTGCAGTTAAAAGTTTGGATAGTATGGTAAAACAAATGGTATAATATTAAATAATATGTAACTATACAAGGAGGTGGCTGGGTAAATCAAGGATCACAGCACTCAGCCAGTCCTGCAGATTTGAAGTGCGCTTCAAAGTGGCCAGCCACGAAAGTGCCTGGGGTTTCCAATGCTTGTGAATGTAATGGTACAAAATTTCAGAACAACCCTTCAGCAAACCTTGACTAGATTTTGCCCTGCAAAGGTGCACTCCCCTTCGGGTGAGTTCGTAGGCCGCAGCGGTGTAGCAGGAAGGATGCTTGGAGGAGCTAATTATGGTGGAACCTTGTTATAACTTTTCCACTTTGAGAATGTTTACATATTTAACATCCTATTTTAAAGCCTTCAAAAGTCATCTGTCTCATTGCTCTACATTTTCTAACATTCGATTTGGCGGGTCCCCTTAAAAACGTCGTAGCGAGGTTTCGCTGTACTTTGTTCCTGCAATAACGCACGACACATTTATCAATGCAACATGCTCATGGAACTGTATGATTCGAAATTAGAAACACCTCTAAATAAGCCACAAGGGTCCTGGCCTAATCGTACACATTCCAAACATTAAATTCCACAAGTCTGCAGCCGTGCACATTATCTGGCCTTCTTCAAGTCAATAAAGACCGCTGCCGAAACACAAAATAAAAATAAATCTGTAGTGCAAACACGTGCCGAGTTTAAACAAGCGTTTGATTAAAATTGATCTTTTTTTCCTTTAAAAACAGCAACCCAAAGACACAAAATGGTAAAACACACATTTGACAAAATACATGACTGTACGCACTCCAGGGGTAAATGAAAATCACTGGCAAGCCAGTCCAATAAATGAGGGTGTGCCTTGTATTATGAGGTGACGTTTTGTAAGAGCAAATGGTATTGCATTGCGCATTTGTGTTGTACCTTATTAATTAGTTATATTGAAAATAGCTCATGCATTATAATGCAAGCTGCATCCAAACTGCAATGAGTGAGTGCTCCATTATTTCATGGGCACTAGGCCACGGATGTGTGAAGGGAAATACTGAATACTAAATTATTTTTTTAACGTGAAAATTATTTCATTTCAATAGACGCAGCAATTATTAGCATAACCTCATTAATAAAACGCCTTTTGACATCCCAGAGCCTGAATAATGTGCTGACGGAAACTCTTTTCAGATTTTACAGTATAAAAATGGCCAAACAGGCACAGTATAATAGCAATCTGGCCACTCTCTAACGAAAAATCTACAAAAAATGCCTTTCTGCCAACACAAACTAGGCCTCTAGTCTCAAAGTGCTTCAGCCAGCTGAGGGCGCTGCTCACTTTAGTTAAATTTGCCGGAGAAATAACCAGGGGACAATGGCAGGAATCGAACCACCGACACCATGAAAAAGGCTCCGTGGTGACAGCGCATTCACTGCTGGCAAAACAGATACTTAACAGAGTGCGAGATATCACATAAAAATAGTCAGTTGTATAGGTAATCTGTTTCTGCTGAATTTCATTGAACACGTTCTTAGTTAACGGAGCGTCTGCACAGCCAAAGGTATCAGACAGACGCACCTAACGAGAAAGATACAAAAATAAAACGGTCGGCACGAGAGGGTAACCGCAACCGGCCTGTCTGAGGTAAAGGTTACTAGAGTCGTAGCAACGTCACAACGCGCAAACAAAAAAAACACCACGATCCCTCCCGCTCCATGGCACGACCAAACGCGCGTTGCCAGAAACTCCGTCCCCCACCGTCGCGTCACTCGCCGGAGATCGGCTCTCGGCAACGTGGGGGCCCTCATCGTTATGGAGCGCGTCGCAGCACGGTGGGCCTTGCGCCCCGGCGCAACGCAACGCTCGGGCCCTATGCCGCGGTGGCCCGGGCGTTGTACGAACGCGCTTGGCAAACAATTAGTGGTCATTAGCGTAAGAGTCGTCTTTTCTTCATGTTTGAGAAGCCATCGGAACATTAGGACAACAACGGGACATTGGCGTGGAGGGGCTGTCGCCCCCCCCCACCCTGCTACACTGGGGGAAAATTTAAAACAAGTGGGAAGGTGTAGAGGCACAGCTGGCCAGACGGTGGGCTGCAGATACTGTCGACAGCAGCCCAATTGGAAGAGGTGGCTTGTTAATTTATATCCAATTATTAAATCTGGTCAGGACTGTCGTGAATATGGTCCTGTGAGACGAGCAGCCAATCGTGCGAGCATGAGACTGCTAGAGTCACACATAAAGGCTGGGTTGTAAGAGGTTTGCTATAATATAGAATCCAGATGGCAAATTGAGGTTTAGAAGGAATAAAACAAATGCAATTTGTAGAAGTGAAACAAGCATAAGATGCAAATATGTTGTCCTAATATTTTTTGTTAGCTTTTTCGAGTCCCACGTTTGTGAGAAAATAGTGAATAGTCTCTTAAAATGAATAATAACTTGAATCCCTCAATAAAAGTTATTGGAATTATTGGTACACATTTTAAAACATTACTGCGGATGTTTAAATTAATATTTTTGTCACAGATCAGCAATTCATCACTTGATGAATTTAAGTTGGACAACTCAAGTAAAAAATCCTATAAACTAGTTCTGCTAATACTCAGCACAGGATTTGAATCAACTGTGCATTGGACCTCGCAGCAAATTTTCATCGTAGTTCATAGGTCAAGTTTACATTTAAAATAAATTTTAAAATATGGCTGCGTGGTAAATAACATATAATACAGTTTTTTTTGTTTATTCTGATGAGAACTGATTGTATTGCAATCAATAAACGAATGTTTGTACATAAAAACAACCTATGTTTCTTGAACATCTTTTCGAGTGGGATTAGTTTGTTAAACCTACGTGCCAATGTTTCTATGTTTGACAATTTAATTGTAATAAAACTTGTCTACATAAAGTATTTAGAAAAATAGTACTGCTATGTTTAAGGCGCTTTTGGTGTGAGAGGCTCTGAGTTTGTTCAGGACAAAGCCTGCATAACTAGGCCCAAGTAAATAAAAGTCTTCCACAATATAAATTTTGCTTCCAGTAATTAAAACAAAAAATGTGGTCTTGTTTTGGTGTTAAGACAAAATATATGTGTAACTGCTATTAAAAATAGTAATAAGTGAGCTTATGTTTAAATGTTTTTATGAGGTAATGGCATTCCAGAATTTCTAATTACATTTTTGCTAGACCAAATAGACCACAAACTCCAAGTGTTCATCGCATTGCGATGGCCCAGGAAAGAATATTTTTGGTTGTCTGGCACTTTAAATCTTTCATAGTGTGGCTTCCCATACAATTTTCCTAAACTAAAAACAATACAAATTATACTTTTTTCCCACTTACTGTTGCTGCCAAACAACACTGCCCCCCCCCCAAGCTAATGGTCTACAGACTACCGCCGTGTTTCCTCAGCCTCCGAAGGTCAGAGGACACTTTAATACAATGCAGTGGCTCGCAACTCAATCTGTTGTGCTGGTGTGCATGGGGACGGAGGGGACTGGTAAACACGAAGAGCCGGGCCAAGGATGATGCTCATCGAGGTTTGGCATTTGTAATCGCTGATCTAAGGCACTTGTTACAATTTTTATTTCATAACCATTTAAGTACAATTTTGTAAATACAGCGCTTGAATGTTACATTTTTCTATTATTTACGACTTTTAAAAAATACATTGGCCTAAACGCCTGGTGTTCTGTATTGTGTCATTTACTCCCACTCCCTCCCAGACCCCTCTCTTTCCCCCAGCACCACCACCAGCCTCCCTAAAAACCCAGCCCTCCCTAATAAAAGCCAGAGAGTTCTTGTACTCCCCAGCACTCTCTCTCGACATGAGACCCCCACCCCACCCCCCACCCCCCTTCTTGCAGGAGTCTGTGAGGGACGGTCATACGAAAATACATGGGGCGTGCTTCTTAGGACCGTGCTCACTGCTTGGTTGTGCTGGAGACGGCCGATCTCATTCGATTTTGGCGCGTGGCGGTGGCGGCACCGGCAACCGTGGTGCCGACGGCACCCCACAGCTACAGCCGTTGGAGCAGTTGTTGTTGAGCGGCTTCTGGTGTGGCGTGACGTCATTCCCGGAGCCCGCGCTCCCCCTGGGGCTGCTCCGTCGGCTCGGCAGCAGGAACACGGCCATCAGCGACAGCAAATGGAAGTGGAAGTACATGGAGCTACGGGCGCACACGGCGGTGGGGGTACAACGGAGGAGCTGTCGGTTACCGGCCACAGGGTGGGCACTCACGAGGCCAGCACCGCGAACGACTCTAATCCAAGGTCAAAGGCAATGGCCGATCGCTCAAAAATCTGTAGCTACGGCATGGCCGCCTCCGATTAGCATGGTTGGCTACGTACGGTGCCAAAGAAGTTCAACATACGTACATACATACACGATGGCTTACTTTTTGATGAAATGTAATTTTACTTATTTTAACAGTTGTGTGCCTCTCACTGGAAATGCAATGTTGACTTTGCTTAGTGTTTAACTGGATGTGTGTTGAGCAAGTGCATCAACTGCTGGACCCACCCAGAATCCACTTAATTGGCCTTGTTGTATCGGATCGATCGGCCATGCCATGCTAATCCACTGTTTCAGCATTGCGGTGAAGGATTGATCAATTCGGCCGCAGGGATGTTCTGCTTAAACATTAGAGTGCTCTGCAGTTTCGGGCTGGGCCTGGAGGAGCAGGACTTACGAGTGCCAGTTACCGATAAAGCGTCCAACCGTAAGTTGCGTGCGCGGGCAGACGCTAGTGTTTGTGGATCATCGGTGGACGCCACTTAGCCAAACTCCTGGGTGTTTAAATCAGCTTGCCTGCACTAAACGATCACGATTGATAGAGATGGCAGCTAAGCAAAATGGACATTAAAAGTTTCAACTACAGACCTGGGCCAGGTGACCGTGGAAGGTCGTGGAATATTTGCAAGTTGCGTTGCCCGAGCGGAGCTGTGAATGTGGACAGCTACAAACTGTGACCCATATTGCGGAGGACTGCCCTCTGACCAGGCTGCTCAGGAGGACTGAGAGCACTGAGCACTGCACACGGAGATGTGGCGGCCTGGCTCGGCCGAGAAGGCACACGTTCGAAGAAAAAAAAATAGGTACATATTACATTTCCCACATCTGGCTGCTGACCTGTAGAATTGCAGCGTGGGCTCAGTGGCGAGCAGCACGAACGGCGCCACCGTGTAGGCGATGCCCATCTGCGTGGAGGCCCACGTGACCACGTCGTACGCCACCTTGAGGCCTCGTGAGCCCAGGAATAGGTGCCGGAAGTTGTACCGCACCTGCACGCACCGCACCGCACCGCACGCATCGCACCGCACGCATCGCACCGCACGCATCGCACCGCACGCATCGCACCGCACGCACCGCACCGCACGCATCGCACCGCACGCATCGCACCGCACGCATCGCACCGCACGCATCGCACCGCACGCACCGCACCGCACGCATCGCACCGCACGCATCGCACCGCACGCATCGCACCGCACGCATCGCACCGCACGCACCGCACCGCACGCACCGCACCGCACGCATCGCACCGCACGCATCGCACCGCACGCATCGCACCGCACGCATCGCACCGCACGCATCGCACCGCACGCATCGCACCGCACGCACCGCACCGCACGCAAGAGCGCTCAGTCAATTTGATGTGGCGAGCGAAAGGTGTTACAAGGTGTGGTGGCTCATGGCTGCCGTCGGGTAATATAAAGACAACGGGTGATGGATTACGTGGATTTGTAAAACTACTAAACCCACTGGGCTGCAAGGTGACCCAACATATGGTAAGGTGAGAAATTGGGCCGTGATTCCCGCTTGTTGAGGGCGATGAGTGTTAATCCCCTCATATAGGCGGTGGGACTTCTGGTAATTATTTATTCAGGGATGCATCAAAACATCTCAAATTTCCTGAGTGCCCTGCATTCAAATGCAATTCCATTCAAATTCAATTCTATTAACGACGTTTTCGCTTGTGGTAGAACAGTGGAGTAAGTGGACAAAAACTTAATGCATATTAAAGAATACTACGAAGGTTTTTGCACAGATATATTCAAAGATTGGTGTACTGCCATCGTGTCCTGAACACCTCGCAGAATCACAACCTTCCCATTTCCTCCTCCCTAGAGCACAAAGCTTATCAACGAATTGGCCAAACATCCAAAATGCAGTACGCTCCTGAACAAAAGTCTTGAGACTCGAACAGCCATTGCTTTTTAAATACCCCCATTCCAATTTGTTGACAACCACGAACCAATGCGCCCTTCTAGCTTTGGATTTTGCTCAGTCACCCATGACACACCCTCACTGCTCTGGAAGCTCGTACACCCACCCACCTTGGAACTCTCTCTCTCGTGTCAGGTCTGAACCTCGCGATACCTTGGGAGCCTTTAACGTTTTGTGTGCAATGTAAATCTGACTTACGTTTTTTTCTCTTTTTTTAAATTCCCTGCCTTTCATTATTCACTTTTCAGGATGTAACAGCCACTGGGTTTGGAAAATAAACACATACAGTGGAATTATAGGCAGTGCATAATTATTTACACAGACGTGTAAACCAGTGTTTCGATTAAGTGGCTTGCATAAAGAGATTTGGCAACAAGCCATTGATCGGATATAGCAATTACTTAGTTATATATTCATCAAGTAAGGTATCATTTGAAATATCTACCCAGTAAAGCCTGATCGAGTCTCAAGACTATTTTTAAATGGATATGTTTTGGTGTGAGTGGCCATTTCCGTATAACGTTTTGGGAATTAAAGGAAATCGTAGGTGGAGACCTATAACGGAGTAGTCATGTCATCCAAATACTTTCTTTACTGCCTCATACAGGATTCCACGTTGGCCTGCAGCTGAAGAGCTATCTCACATGCACGACTGTTCCACCCCCGCATGATCCAACAACAGACAGACAATTGCCTCAACAACCAGCAAGAGGAAAAGATTACAACTTCCCCTTGACGACAATTGTTGAGTACTCACATGGTTCAAATGCAGACCACGCACACTGCTACATTGCACCTTGGTGTGTGTATGCGAGACGCTGCGGCAGAGCACTTCAGGTGGCACTACTAAGTTCACGATCTCAGAAAAGTCGCAAAAATAACTCATCGTATTCAATGGGGTTGTTTTGTTGTTCACTTAATGTGGCTTATTACAGATTATATTTTTGTATTAAATAAAAATTATTGACATGCAATGAACACACCTTGCACGACGTGTAAAAGGAGCACCCCCCTACAGGTATTATTCAGGCAACTTCAGAAGACATTCTGGGGCATCTCCTTGCAGGGCAAGATGACTCACTGCACGGCAGGCGCAGTGGTAATATTGAATGATGATGGTGACGATGAGGACCGTTGCTTTTGACTCATCGTGGTGAACTACACAATCGAAGGTTGCCCAAATGGAATGTCTTTGTTTCATGACAACGTGAAACCTACAGTATAATTGGAACACAAGAGAGAGAGAAATGAAGAAAAAAAAGATAAATAAATGGGGGTGAGAAGTTTGAGACGTGTGAGGAGTTTTTGCTGGGGGGGGGGAGAGGGGTAAATGGGGGGGGAGGGCCTCACCGCTCGAGCTGCCATGGTCATGGGGATGCCGGTGAGGAAGGTGAAGTAGTATCCGGGGTAGACTCCATGCCACACGGCCGACAGCACGAACGTCGCCACCGTTCGGTGTTGTGCAGCTCGCTCGTAGCACACCCTGCCGGCACGTGGAGAGGTCGGATAGGGTCAGAGATTACACGGGTTGTATGAACGTGGTGGGGGGGGGGTCATAGAGGGGTCAGAGGTCATATGGAAGGGGTCACGTGGAGGTTAAAGGTCACAATAGTCTCACAACTGATCAAGTTGCAATATTAAGTCGTGTAGCTGTGTGGCTTGGGGCAAAAAAAATACGATTTGAATTTTTTAAACGCCCCACCTCTGGCTGATAAATAAGTACCACTTTGTGGGAAGTCAACAGTATTCATTATACGGAGAGACTTGTCCCCACGACATGAATGTGGAGTTGCTATGATTGGGTCAAGACTGCCAATGCAGGTGGGAGTGCTGTCCAATGCTTGGTTGTGCATGGAGATACTTCACCTGGAACGTTTTCTCAATCTATCTCGCGACATGGGTTAAATACGTGGAAAGCAAACGCACAATGTGAACTCACCGTTTCAGCCAAAGTGCAGTCTGTATGTTCCAGTTATCGATGAACATTTTGAAGCTGGTTGCTGTCTGTAGCGACAAAACAAACATACATTTTCCAATCGTAAAAACACAATGCACTAAGCTTGTGCGTTAAACATTACAAAACTATATATTGCACCCAGTTTTTTGAGACACTACTTTAAACAGGAGTAACTTTCGTGGCAAAGAAAAAAACTAACTCGCAGAGGTAAAGGAAATTTTTCATTTTATGAAAAATTTCGAACAACTGTTATGCCTTTCTGTACAACCTGTTTCTACATGTTTAAAAGGAGGCAGATTTCAAAAGAACATGAGGTCCCTTCTTAGAGGTTCCCCACATCTGGGACCCTGGGCTTAGTGCCACCTTGCAAACTGCTTGAAATACAAAAAAAAAATCTCAACTATTTTTATTTTACCAGTTAAGGCCCACTGAGCTATATAGCTCTTTATCAGAAGCGACCTGGCCACAAATGATAGCTCAACAAAGTGGCTTATCTCATGGAAATGTATGGCAGCCAAATACTCTAAACACATTTTGTTTCTAAATGTGGAGGGAAAAACCAGAGGACCCGGAGAAAAATCCACGCGCCCAAGGGGAGAAGTGTAAACTCCAAATATGCAGGCTTAATGGTCGGATCGAACCCACGACCTCCTGTATACCAGGCGAGGTAGTTAACATCTCACCACCGTGACGCCCCATGCCCCTCAACCAATAGGGGGCGCAGCTCCTAACTCTCTCACTTGTTAGTCACTTCCCACCCCCTCCGTTCCCAGCCCTCTTCTAATTACTAAAAGAAAATAACGGCCTTCCCCTTGATATTCCAATGGTAGGCTTTGTCATCATGCTTCATATTTATCTTTAGCCCAAATTTGTATCATTCTCTAACCAATCTTGATTTGAAGCTTTCGTGACTGCAAGAATCCATACTCTTTGGTTCTTTTGGTAAAGTCACGTAGGTAAAAAATAAAATAATCACGACGTTTCGGACGCAACACAAGCGTTCGTCATCAGGTGGGAAAGCGTGGTCTGCTGCTGAGGCAGACGGTTTTAAAACCAGTTATTCAACTATCGCCTGTAGTTAATTTCCAATGGTGATTGATAACGATTGTCATCGGCGGCGAATCTGCGGTGGTTGGGTTGATACTCATTCTCCATTTAGATCTATGCCTTTTACTCATACCTCTCATCCAAGTTTGAGAAAATGTCTCGTGATATCGCTGTGAATATCCTGAATAAGAGTGTCTCTTTACCGGACGCTGCTCCCTTGTTATAGCTTAGTTTGTGAGGGACGAGATAACAGTGTAAGTTTCCACTTCATGAAATTCCAATTCATACTAAGCCAGGCATAATGGTAAATTACTATTAATTAATATTTCCTAGAATCTATTTGACAGTAAGTACAACAAAGTTAGTGTAACAATAGGCCATTCTTATTGGAGGTACACGACTAGAAAACACAATGGAGTATAAACTGTGGCCTTTTCTTTAGGTGGACTGAGATCAAATTTTATTAAAAATAAATAGGTGAGCCAGTGAAGGTTGGGGTGCTGTTGAAAATGTTATTTAATCAAGAGCAGTATATAAATGCATTGAAAGAGGGACGTTTTAAATTTACTGCGTATTTCTAGATATTGTATTAGGAACAGAATCAAGGGACAAAAGTTGACAAACGCATAAAGAAACGAAGATACATGCTTGGAATTACTATGATAGACAGAAAGATGAGCAAATGGAATAGAGAACAAATGCTAGAGACGTGGAATTCTGAGGAAAGGAAAGTGAGGTCAGGGAGGACACGTCGCGATGAGGGATGACGCCAAGGGGACAAGACTGGGAAGGGAGTGGTGGCCAAAGGCGGAACATGTCTGAGAGGACGACCACCACGGAGGTGGAGCAATGAGGTGTAGCGAGTGTACGAGAGCAAGTTGGATCGCAAGACCATGAGAGATGTATGTTGAACTTCTTCCGCATCATAGGTAGCCAACCGCGCTAATTGGAGGTGCGAGGTAAGGACAACAAAATAAACACAAAAAGCAGTTCTAAAGAAATTAGTTGTTAATCTACATTTAAAAGTGCAAAACTCCAGTGACTTCCTTATTAAGAGATGGTGATCATAGCGGCTCGCAGATATAGCTTGGTTAGCGAGTTGTCCTCGCGTGCACGCTCATTGCACGACTTGCGCAAGGGCTCGTCGTACCTCGATGTTCCAGATGTTTAGATTAGACACCAGGTCCCACTTGCTGCGGCCGTTTTTGTCGTAACCGTTGAAGCCAAAACCTGCCGCGTTGTTGATCGCATCCGCTGCCGAAGACACACAGAGCGCACGAGACGCGCGGGGTGTGAAGCAACAGCACTAGCGGCAGGCAGGGTGGCCGTGCGCACAGCTAAATGAATATCCACAGTCTAGAACTTTAATGAAATGGCGGCGCGCGCTGTCGTCAACTCGACTGAGACGACTATAAACACCGACTAAAGTGGAACATCTTACCGGTGAGCTGAAACTAAAATAACTGACGCGTTAAAACTCTTGTGCACGTGACAACTAAATATGTTTGGTGCTGGACGTTGGTGGATGGTCTTACGGCAGACATTCTGGCCAGATAATTACATGGCCTAACGCCAAAAATCCATATTAAATGAACACCGAGCCCACTGCTTCACACTCACCCAGAGTCCAGGCGAAGTAGTACTTGGGCCGCCCACCCTGGCAGGACACGTAGAGGTAGCAGAGGCGTGCGTGCAACGGCGCCGAGGCGATGAAAGCCTCGTCGGCGTTGAGCGACACGGGGAAGGCCTTGGAGAGTGTTAGGTAGAAGACGAGCGAGAGCAGCACCATCAGCAGCTTGGATGTCACGGCCGCCTGCTCACACACAAAGATAGACAAAAATCCCCCATATAGCCTTAATGGACTGATAGGGCGAGTGCTGTTAGCGAGTAGCACCTATGAATGCGAGGAGGTGGGTGGCCAACACCATGCCCGACCGCCTTTGTTTTCCCCAGTGGTGAGTACCAGGTACTCATTTGAGGCTAAGTCGACCTAGGGGAGGCCCAGAATCGCGCACACGCGCACACACACGCGCGCATGCACATAAAGACCCCAACCTTCCGTTGAGATTCGCAGACTCACAGCGGCACGTGCTGCTCGTAAGCAAATATAAGAACCAGCATAATGCACCAAGGGGGTGATGGGAAATAAGGTGGAAGGAAATGCGATTGAGGTAATGGCAGCTGAGGTGGGGGGGGGGGTGCTGTTGAAGGGAATGGGGCAGACGAGGGAAGTGGTAGTGCCCGGGGGTAGAAGTGAGACTGGATAGAAATTGAGGAAATGGCAGTTAAATGGTGTGGCAGTTAACGGGATGACAGTTGAGAGGGCAGCAGCTAGATGGGTTGGCAGTTGTGGGGGTGGCGGTTGCGGGGGTGGGAAGGCTGGGCAGGTTCAAGGACAGTGTCGACATTCAGTGGCAGTGGCTGGGAAACATCTGAAGGGGACAACAGGAAGAGAAGGGCGCCGTGGAAAAGGGTGGAGGTTGAAGAGGGTGGCGGCAATTGAAGGGGGCGGCAGTTCAAGGGGGGCAGTAGTAGATGGGGGGGCGGCAGTTGAAGGGGGGGCGGCAGTTCAAAGGGGGTGGCAGTTGAAAGGGGGTGGCAGTTGAAAGGGGGTGGCAGTTGAAGCGGGCGGCAGTGGCAGTTGAAGGGGGGGCGGCAGGTGAAAGGGGGTGGCAGTTGAAGGGGGCGGCAGTTGAAGGGGGTGGCTGTTGAAGGGGGTGGCAGTTGAAGAGGGTGGCAGTTGAAGGGGGTGGCAGTTGAAGGGGGGGCGGCAGTGGCAGTTGAAGGGGGCGGCAGTGGCAGTTGAATGGGGGCGGCAGTGACAGGGGCTGGTGGGTGGGACATGCAGGTGCGCACCGCGGGCGATGGCTCATGTAGGGGGCCGTTCTCCCGGCCGCACACGCCACTGCGCTCCCACCCCTTGTAATGGCTGCCCTCAATGAAGGCCGTGTAGTCCTTAAAGGAGCTGCTGGGCCCTGCGAGGATGCTCAGGAAGTTCAGGTTGAAGCTGAGAAACTGCAGCAGAGTCGGCAGTCTCCTGCGAGAAAAAGAAAAAAAACCGAGCTGTGTTATTCTACGTTCTACAGACAGTCTCAGGCACTGCAGGGGAACCTTCCAAAGCGCATTTCTGTGGGGAAACATGCAAATGTATGTTAAAATGTATTTGGGACACGATTATCACGGTTGGCTATGTACGGTGCGAAAGAAATTCAACGTACATACAAGTACTCGCATTCTAACAGACGTACACCAATCACATCGGCATGCAGAAAAAACCCCATTAAATAAAAAACAACATTTAAAAGTATTTTATTGCCAATTTTCAGAAATAGACGATACATATCTGGGAATGTGTGTCGGTAAGCCTTGTAGAAATATTTGTAGCGACTGGTTTTGTGATAAAAAGCGAGGGGGTTCTGAAATGGACCAATCGTCCAATCTGTAAATGATAAGAAAAACATCGTAACCATGGTAATAGCGCAGGCTGGAAAGCCGTGAATTTTAAACAACACGCAAAAACGTGTAAAAAAAACACCTGGCCTTTTATGTTTATGCAAAACCCCATCAACAATACTTAATTAATAATTAACGAGGACCATAACGTACATCTTCAGGAAATGCTGGTGGCTTTTGCATAATGCACAGAGGCGGTGTGCTTTTCTTACACATTTTTGCGTGTTGCTTGAAACTTATCAGATGGACCAACGGGTGGATATAATATTTCAAGGGCGCAGAAATAAGTGGCCGGTGGTCTTCTCTTAAAGATATGTGCACGACACACACAATCAAGTACAGATGCCGCACAACGTGTTTGTGCATATGCACATATTCACGAGGCAAGGCAGTGAAGCAGGCTTCACACATCCTTCAGTTGCTCCATAACCCTTTGTAGAGAATCTATGAGTAGGCTGGAAAAGCCGAGTAACCGAACGTAGCCAAATCAGAGCAACACTGCGGTTCATTATCTCCTTTGAATTTGCATGCAGGAATACCAACGTGTGCACGCCCACGCGTGTGGATTCGTGAGCACTCGTGTCTGTATGTGCGTGCGTTATGGTCTCACCTTGAGGCCAATCTCCGCTGTTCCACCGTAAGATCTTGGTCTTCTTTAATCATGCCTGGTGGCACGCACGCACGCATGCACGCACACACACACAAATCCTGTGAGCAGGCACTAACCAAGGCCAGGTGCTCATTGTAGTCTGGGTGGACCTAAGGGAAAGGCAGACCAGGTTCAGATTCCAATTGCCATTGATGAGGACAGTGAGGAATTGACCCTGGCTCACATGGATTGGAGGCTATTGCTTAAACCATTGTACCACTAATCCAAACGGAAACAAAGAAACAATGACACACACACAATGATGAAAATACAATCAAGCACACACACAGAGAAATGCAAAGACAAATGCACAAAGGTACAGAGACACACAAGCGCATACACACACACTGAGGCCAATTACCTTTTAGTGAACCTGGTTAGACCATTTTGGAACGTGTTATTCGCGAGCACCCATAATGGTCATCATTTCGTACAGGGGTGTGGGTGAGGCCTACCATCAGGCCCGGCCTTTCTTGCCTGGTGTTGAAAAACCTGGCTGCATGTTTTCATTTAAATCTCAGTGAATTGCCATCGACACACGTACAGAGTGGGAGGGGAGGCGCTGCCTGACATGCTGGGCACGACAGCCCCGCTGTGCACTCCACGGCTGCCGAGCACTTGCGTGCAATGACACGCAGGCGCACGTGTGGCGCGTGTGTCGAGGGGTACGGTCAGTAACCCCGGTCTACGTCGGACGATGCGTTCCCGAAACGTGCGACGATGAACATCGGAATGACGTAAGTCAAAGCAAAACGTAGTCCGCACGCAACGAGAGCGAAAACGAACACAACGGAGGGTACTGTGCAGCTGTGTGTTAGTGCACACGCCTTCATCCTGGACGTACCGACAACGTTATATTAATTTACTAAATGACTACAAATATTGTACCAAACACAAGTGTATAACAGTAAACTTTAACACAAATTATACAGAGTACAATAAGATACAGTGCACAATAAAACAAATCACCAAAAATGCAGCACATACATAATATATTCTACTCTACAGGAAAGTACAATTCTTTATGTGCGACACAAAGTAGTTTACGTACAGGGTAGGTGGAAGCAAAGGCTGAGAGGCGACCGATACGAGAAAGGATGAATGATGATGCTGTCAGTGACGTGAGTGTGGGCCGAGGCACCGCAAATTGGGAAGTGGTGTTCACAAAATGACGACGTATTTGCTAAACGACGTCAAAGGGGTAAGTCGGGGTGTTGCTGCATTCACTTTGGGAGATTCCCATCTGATATGCCAGGGATTTCTCAACTACAAAAAAAATACTCAATAAGGAAGCGAGGCAAACATTCTGAGTGTAAAGAAAACGTCTTTGAGACTCTGTGAAGTATTCACGGGTGAAGACAAAAAATGGAGCCGACATTTTCTTTCTCCATTTTCCACAATTTCATTCAAATTGTGTTCCCGGCATTGTGTTCCCGGCATTGTGTCTTAAAAGAGACGTTTCGATTCTGAACTCTGGCAGAGCAGTGTTACAGAACAGCCTGCAGAAGATAATATAATAATGTTTAGTTTTACAGAGCGCCATTCGTGCAAATCTCATCTCACAATCGCAGAGGAATCACAGCTGGAAGGTGAACCAGCGCCAACAATTGCCGAAGTTTTCTGCCTTCTCGACAGACCTGTTCTCCACCTGAAGACGGCTGCTTGCGTTGTGGCCGAAACGTCGTGAGAATTATTTTTATTATGTTTTATTTTTATTATTTTATTATTTTCCTTCTACGTGACTTTACCGAAAGAACCAAGAAGATCAATTAATTACTGTTTATACGTGTGGGGGGAAACTACAGCAACCGAAGAAAACCCACCCGTGCGAGGGGGCAACGTAGTATCCCATACAGAAAGCAGCAGAAGATATTTGTCCACACTTTGCTGTACCGCCGTCTCCTGGCAAGCCAGGGTATGGCACCTCGACGCCCATGGGAAGCGAGTTTCACAACATCCGTGCGATCCACCGACACTCGTCTCCACGAGTTTCCATTACAGGCCATGTGCGTAGCGACCATTGCCTAGCGGTGGTGACGGTGACTATGCTATTTCCCGTGACACGCGCACAAGGCGCGCTGCAATTTCCCGCTTGTGTCCTGCTCGCATGTACAGTAGAACCTCTGGTCACGACCATAATTCGTTCCATAACTTTGGTCGCAACCCGATTTGGTCGTGACTCGAACCTAATTTCCCCATTGGATTGTATGTAAATATGATTAATCCGTTCCAGACTCCTACGAACTGTATATACATATTGTTTTTTAAAGATTTTTAAGCACAAAAATAGTTAATTATGCCACAGAATTCACAGTGTAATAGTAAACTAAATGTAAACACATTGAATAACACTGAGAAAACCTGAACAACGGAGAAAACTAACATTGGCGCGTCAAGGTTTAGAATCGTTCAACAAGATGATTGTTTCGTCTGCTACATAAGTTGGTCGATTCTGAGAGAGAGAGAATATTCGTACGAGCAATTCATGTTTCTATTGAAAGTAAGTTAACGGTAATATTTGGGTACAGTATTGTTTTTGGAAGCATTCACCGTAATATCGTATGAACGTTTACTTCACCGCATCATCGTATAAATGATGCGAGAAGAGATTAACGGGTTTTAATGTTAGCGATTTTCGTACTAGGAATTTTATTTAACAAAAGTTATATACATAACTGTAAACAAACAACAAGAAATTTGGCGCTTACAAAAAAATGGCGCGGAAGGGGAAATCGGCCGCGGCCGTGTTTGATCGCCACCCGAGTTTGTGTTCGTGACCAAATTCAAAATTTTTGTGAATTTTTTGGTCGGAACCCGATTTGGTCGTGGTCAGAAGCGTTCGTGACCAGAGGTTCTACTGTACATATGTTGAACTTATTTCGCATCATACATAGCCAACCGTGCTAACAGAAGGCGCAGGGGAAGGACAACAAAACTAAGTACAAAAAGCATTTTTAAAGAAATAAAATATTCTTGAGAATAAAATTCTCGAATAATTTTTTAAAAGAAATGCTCCAGAGATTCTCATTGGATGGCAATTAAATTGAAAGTATATTTTTTTTATTCTGGAACTTATGCAAAAGTAAGTGAGAATCCAAATTTCACGTTATATTTGTTTCTCTGCAGTTCATGAGTTAAGTGGCGGAAATAATCAACGAACTTACTGCTCTTGAAAACTCTGCTTAATCAAGGATAGCTGCCTGGGTTCGAACACAGAATCTCAGCAGTGCCGGATCACTGCTGTAAACAGGGCTGACCTTTAAACTTACCATCATGAATCTCAAAAGCCAGGCTTGTTATCTTCTGTGTCATCACCATCATGGGGCTGAAGGACAAGCAGAGGTGAGGGGAAGAGTCAGAGAGGACATTATAAAAAGACGACATCGTTATGAAGGATGGGAGGTGTAAAAAGTGTCCACAACATCCATATTCTACACTATGGGGACCTCATTTGCCAGTAAAAATATGATAATTGGTTCTTTACGCATTAGTGCGCCTTTTGGCGTCATCTGGTCCAACCCATATGAGACTAGGCTCGAAGGAAAGCTGTCTCGGGTGTGGACCAATCAACTTCAAGGACAGTGCACATTATCAGAGTTATGTTCTTTTGTTTGTATTATGACTGCAGGTATTGCGGTCTATGCAAACATGACTCCTTGCAAAAAGGTGTCAGTTTTGTTGCCAGATAGAAGGGTAAAGAACCAATTAACATCCATATTCTATTTTTTTACAGCAGCCACACAATAATGCAAATATATTGTCCACCAGGCCACATATTTTAGTTGTCATGTACTTGTGGCCATATTATGCCATATGTTGACGTCACATGTCATTGTGATGTCAACATCCGTACATGTGCTCACTAATATTCACCTCCTACCTCCAGGTCTCTCATCTCTCTATGTCACTTCTATCACACTCGCCTGCATGTCTCGTATACGGCTCTCCCATCTCTAACTATTGTCTTTGTACCTTTCACCTCAATAATCTGTATCAAATTTGTCTTGGCGGCCCATAAATTGGCAGGCCATTGCTGGCTTACGGACTGCTGTTTAACCACCCTGCTCAGGAATAACGTTAGAAAAGCAACTGCTGATATGCCGAGGTAACATTTAGATCTCGTGGGCACATAAGGCCACACGAACTGAAATAGCAATTTTGTGAAAACTGGCTCAGTGGTTAGCGTGTGCTGCTGTTAAAGGCACAACTTAATTTCACAGCGTGAATATCATAAAGTAACCAAATTAAATAATAACATACACGGAAGACTTTTAGAAAAGGCGTAAAGGAAAAGATTAACGCAAACATATAGAAGATAAAAAGTTGCCCTTCTTCGAACATGGGAGGTACAGATGAGAATACAGGAAGGCCATTCTGTGCTGTGTGTGCAGTACAGGAGAGGGAGTGACCTCCCATTGTGTCAAGATTGATCGAATACGGAGACACAAGGCTGTATTTGTTGATGAGGACAAGGCAGGGAGGATGAGAAGGGAGCCAAGATAACAGAAGCAAAAACCACCACAGATACATTTCTGATTCATCGTTAGCAAGTAGAGCCAAGCATATATTTTGGAAGCTCCAGTGGGATCAAGCGATTGATTTGCCGCTGAATGAAAATCCAGCGACAAAGAAGAAATTAGCGAGTTCCAAGTCTGAGTCCAAGATGCACCAACGCGCGGGTGCATACAAAGACAAAGACCCCCCATATATCCTAAACAGACTGTAGAGAAAAGTGCTGTTAGCAAGCACCAATGAAGGCCGGAACAGGACACGAGGGGGTGGGTGACCAGCACTACGTCCGGCGGCCTTTCTTTCCCTAGTAGCGATGTTTACACTTCACCTTAGGTACTCATTTGAGGCTAAATCACCCTCGAGGAGGCCCAGCACCAGTTCAAATACTCGTCACTGATGTTGGCCGTGAGCGAAAATCTGACTCGGGTCGCCGGGTTCGCAGCGCGCTAACCGCGACACTACCGCTCCGCCCAAAAGCCCGCACGCACACACCCACCCACCCACACGCACGCACGCACACACACGCATGAACTTGTCCGAATGTAACGACCGTCATGCCCGTGGAGGCGGCAGTACAAGGCACATTATCTATCATCTCGGACGCCTGCGAGCGTACCGGCCGCTGCCAGCCACACCTTCGCAGGGGTCAACAGTGCGTCATCGCACGTCGGCTAACCAGTCGCTGTGCGGGTAACATGACATCATGGCGCAACCCAACCCGCGAGGCAGATGTGTGGTGTCGGGAGGGATGTGGAGAGATAGGAATCATGAGGATAGTGGTCCAAAGAGTGGTGTAGGGATGGCACCGAGTCAGATCGTGCCTCGTTAGAATTTAATCTTGCCAATGTTTGAAGGATCATTCTTGTGGCACCACCATACTTAAATATGGCAACAAAACGTCCACGCTTATGTGTTTACTAAATATCTATGGCACAGCACAGGGCAATACCATCTCATTTTAGTAAACCGCCGTGCAGTCATTATTATCATCATCATCACAATGATTATCATCATGATTATCATCATGATAATCATTAATGACCTTTCTATAGTGCCTTTTTCATATTGCTATGGAATACCATTGGCATCAAGGTAGGCTCCATTAAACTAGGTATGTTTCCAAATTGGCCTTCAGAGTGCTGTCATACTGCCAACGAGCATCATTCCCCAACGCAGGAAAATTCTGGATGTGAGGACGCGCGCCGCCAAAAGACCTCTCTCATTGCTGCACTCGCGACGTTTGATTGATCACCACGAATCCATTTGGACCTGCGAGACTCACCCAGAGAAGTCGGTGGAGAACACCCCCGAGGTGAAAACGTAGACTCGGCTGATTTGGCACACGGTCAGGTAGCCCATCGCAAAGATGAAGGTGTATCTACTGATGCACAGACACACGCACCATGGGCCGAGGTTAGCATTAGCAACGCAGAGATTTACCGTATTCTGTGGATTTCAGGAAATGCTCTTGACCCATGCAATTAAGGAAATAGACAGTGGTATATTTTATAATCCGGAAGCTATGTTTGTGTGTACGACCAGATTTGCGTAACTTTATAGACACTGGATACAGGTTTTTCATGCATCAATTAATCATTGTCATCATCAGCCATGGCTAATCCACTGCTGGATGAAGGCTTCCCAAAGCCACTGACCATCTCTCACATTCTTACGATGTAATAATTCACTGAGCACCAGCGCACGAGCAGATTTCTCACTGGTCCATCAACTCATTAGACGTCCTCTCAGAAGCAGTCGATTCCTTTAGCTGCCAATCCGTTGTTATTCTTGACCAACGTATCAATTCGTCGTTGAGAACAAATTCTTAGGCTCGCGATGCGTGCAACTGAATCGCGCAGGAGAGAATACATTCTTGCATAAAGTCCACATTTAGGTTAAGCGGTGCGTACAAAATTGTACACATAAGATAGAAATCTATTCAGGACCAGTCCCTGTCATAGTAATGAGGAATTTCCACCACTGGATTAGGAATGGCGATAGTGGTGGGACCTCGCTGGGCAGGTTTGAGCATGACAACACATTGCCAATGGACTGAACTGAGTTTGTGCGTGCACGTGTGCGAGTTTATGCATATTCCGGGGAGCGGTCGTGGAGCGGTTAGCGCGCTGGGCTACGAACGCGGCAACTCGATTTCGATTCCTGCTCACGGTCAACACCAGCCTCAAATAGGTACCTCGTTCGGTATGTAAACATCGCCACTCGGGAGACGAAGGCGGTTGGGCATGGTACGGATCACCCACACCGACATGTTCCGTGCTGGCGCTGATAGGTGCTGCTCGCTAAGAGCACTTGCCCCAACAGTCTGTTAAGGGTGTCCGGGAGTCTTTGTCTTTGTTTATACATACGCTTAGCAATGTGTACGCATGCATTGCCACGTGTTTCCCTAGTGACAGACCACAAGAGGCAATCGTGTAGGGGACGTGAGGACGACAGGGTGTGGCGTTTGTGGAGGCAGTGGCATTCATTGGCATTAGAAATCGTCGGAAGCGCCAGCTTGTGCCAACTGAACTGCATCTCTCCCTCTCCTGACACACAGCGAGACGTTTACTCGCTGAAATACAACTCGAGGGTTGGCCCTGGCAGTCAGATCTGGCACAAGGTCTGTGCCGAGGTCGGTCTGCAACGTGCTGCTGCTCTGCTTTTGGAAAACACGTGTATTTTGTTTGGGCCAAAACGCATGGTGGGGGTTACCCAATGCTAGGCACCGTTTCTAATCGCTACAAGTCTAACTCTAAAAAAAACCCCTTAGTCCTCTTAATGGCCTTGAACTCACCTTGGCACTAACCCTCGTCAGAAAAAAAGCATTACTTGTAAATCTAAAAACCCCAGGAAAATCTATGGCCCTATCATTATGATACTGGAGCACTATTACTAAGACGGCTAGCTCTTTTGTCATCGCCTTTTTTTCTAATTTAGCACAGAGCAACGACTTGGAAGGAAATATGAAGCCATTTTGTGAATTCCCTGCGAGAACAGGACCTCCCCGTCACAACTGGCAGTGTTTGACCATACCTCACCGTTTAACACGTAGGCTTTCGCGACCAATGTTATTCATAATCAACGTTTTTGGGTTTAGATCGCATTTATTTATAAATGTGTCGTAACCCTCCACCACCCGACACGGCCAATCAGTAAAAATGTGTCACGTTGACAAAGACAAATAGTTCACTGCTTTAGCCCACCGGTGTGTTGAAGCCACAACATTTACAATTTGAGTACGACGTTTCGCAGGCACAGACTACAAACCTGCTTTGCATTGCAGATCTCATGAGATCGGAGGCATTTCCGGGCGACGAGGCCGTAGGCAATTTTTATTTGTTACAGATGGAAACAAACGTGCGTGGCGATCTGGCACTTCCGAGGATTTCCAGGCAGCCACCAGCAACGGCAAACCCGGTGTGAGATGGTGAACGTGATTACATTATTTATCAGGCTCTGGGCAGCATGGTGCGAGGGGTGAGATTGTGGTGGGGGCGGGGTAGTGGGGTGGCTGTCCCCCACTGTTCGGCGAGCATACTTGTGCACGTTGCGGGTGTCCACGAGGACGATGATGGCGTAGCTGGCGATCACCTGCACGAAGAAGTGAGCCGCGTACCTGTGCACGCCGCACAAGAGAGACACAGAATGTTCAGGCAGGTGCTGTGAGACGGCATAGCACGCGAAGAGGCGGTGATGCGGGTATCGTGGCTGGCCACCTTTGTTTCCCCAGTGCTGACGATTACGTATGTATGTGGAACGTCTTTCGCACCGTACATAGCCTAGCGTGTTAAGCGGAGGTATGGGGGGAGGACAACAAACTGCACCACTTAAATCTTAGTCGACTTATGGGAGGACCAGGACCAGTTCTGACATACATCGCCACTGATGTGAGCCGTGGTCAGGAATCGCTTACAGCTTCTTCAATCAATGGTAGAACACGCAGGTATATTTATGCAGCCCCTATATGCAACTCCATGTCAAGGTCCTGCATGGAAACAGTGAACAGTTGAACGAAGGAAAATCTTGAGCCTGGACTTTAGCATGGAGTCGACAGCATTGATGGCGGTTCACATCTCAACTATTATGAATGTGATGCATGCTGAAAATATTTTTTACCAGACCCTGCTAGATATAAAGGGGAAACGAATATTTGCACAAGACACAAACACGCTGAAATTAAAGGCAATTGAATTAAAACAATCTAAAAAATATTTGCACCCCTTCTGTCCGCATTATTCAATTTCAAAACCGCAAGCGGCATAAATGGCACCGCTCAGTCACAGCAGGGCTTGGCAGCCGACGTCCCTGAAAGCCGTAACGCAGCAACGCAACCCTGTGGGTGCGCGCGCGGCACGGGAGATAATGGCACGAGCATCACAACCAAGCAGGCTGCCAAAAGGCGCAGCAGTTGGGGGAAGAATTCTAAAAGCACGGAGCGAACGAGTGAGCGAGCGAGAGAGCGGGGAAAGATGGGGGCGGCAGGGGGTGCGGGGAGGGGGGGTGGCAGGAAGCGTCGCTGCGCGGTTCGGAAACCGCACGCAAGGCCTTGCCGATGCTGGGCTCCTTCAGAGGAAATCCTTTAGAGGGGGCGGGGGGCAGAGACGACCCCTATGATTGGCTCGCAACTCCTGGGGTTCCAACGGGGTTCCCCTTCCCATCATCCTGGCCACAGCTCCTGCCAGACTTGAGCGCGCACACATCCTGCCCTAAAATACCATTGCCGCTTTTTTTTTTTGCACTGAAATCATGTGTCCCTTTGTCTGGGCGGAAAGGAGGCCAATGATGTTCATTATTAAGTTCTCCAAAGGAGAGTTTGTTAATGTGGTTTGCACAGCAGCAACAGTAGCCGTTAATGTTACTGTAATGAAAATATTTGCAAGTTATAGTTCAAGTTGTTTTGCTTTACGCACTCGCTTGCTCAGCTCATTCACTCAAGCACTCCCATAATCGCAGTTAAGGGCCCCGAAATGGCCTTTCACTTACTTATTGGTACAACCTGATAACCTAGAGACATGAGTGAGTTATCATACTCTTGACTTATACTGGACAAAAGAAAACTGGTAGCACTAATGTTTTTCCCCCCATCTGAGATGGTACAAATGTCTTCTGTATTTGGAGTTTGCACATTCTTCTCCCCGTGGTCACGTGGATTTTCCTCCAGATTCTCCAGTTTTGCCCTCCACAATTTAAAACGTGTTTTGATTATTTAGCTGCTGCTATAAATTCCCACGTGTGATGATAATAGCTACTGCGATGAGCCATCTGAAAAAAATCTCAGTGGGCTTTACCTGGTAAATAAAATAGTTCAGTTTAGTTTTATTGACTATTACTTTGTCCACAGCTTCACTCACCCATCCACCCATACATTCACTCATCCACTGACACACACGTTGACTCAACAATTCAAACACTGACTTCATGACCCACCCATTCACTTACTCAAATTCACACACTCAATGATCTGCCCATCCACTTAACTCATCCATTCACACATTCCATTCCCCATTCAATCACTGCCTCACTTACCCACCCACCCACCCCTGGCTTCACCCACCCACCAACTCAACACCCAGTCACCCACCCACTCACCTACTCAACACACACCCACCCACTCACTCATCCCCTACCGACTTCCCACCCAATCTTACTTCCCACCTAGGGTGCCATGGTGGCGGGATGTTAATTACCTCGCCTGGTATACAGGACGTCGTGGGTTCAATCCCGACCCTGATGCCTGCTGTATATTTGGAGTTTGCGTGTCTCTCTCCCCGTGGTCACGTGGATTTTTCTCTGGGTCTTCCGGTTTTCCCCTCCACATTTAGAAACACGTGTTTAGAGTATTTGGCTGCTGTAATTTTCCACGTGATCATAAGTCACTTCGTTGAGTTATCATTTGTGGCCAGGTCGCTTCTAAAAAAGAGCTACATAGCTCAGTAAGTTTTAGCTGGTAAAATAAAAAAAAAGATTTTAGTTTCTCAAACACTGCCCCAGTCCATCCACCCACCCCATTTCACTCGCCTCACTCATCCAACCTCCCCCCCCCACCGCTCTGTCACTCACCAGCCAAAGCAGAAGATAGCGAAGTACGATCCGAGTAGCGTGGCCAGGCCGTGCCGCACACGTTCGCTCGCCGCCCTCGGGTGCAGGTAGAGGCGGAAGAAGAACGCCATCGCCAGTGCCAGCAGCTGGCACATCACGAAGTTCACCTGCGCGAGGGGACGTACCGTGGCGCGCGGTTAGCTCGGCGTTATGCTCACCGCTGCAACTCATTGGGAGCCCTTTGTCAATTCCCTTTTGCTGCGTGAAGGCCGCTCTCTCCCCGCGCTCTGTCGGGTCATGGAGGCTGTTGGAAGTTCGTTCACCGCACTGGTCAGTGGGGGTTGGCTGCCCAGAGCCTGGGTGCAAAAGTAAAAATTTGCCCCAGGCCTTTCACAAAAGACGGTGCCACAACAGGCCTGTCTTATTTATTTATTACCTCTAAATATGGTGGCATCACGTGAGATGGTGGCCGAGTACTTCAGCCCGGGGCCTCAAGGTATGTCTGTGGCCCAGGGGGAAGCCAGGGCCCGCTTTGGATGTCACTCACAACTGACGTTAGCCGTGACAGGGACATTAGCTCAGGCAAATGGGTTCATAGCACGGCGCGCTGATCACTGCACCATCACTCAAAAGTTGAAGAATCTTGAGAACTCACCCCGCACCTCTGACTAGCACGGTTGGCTATGTACGGTCTGAAAGAAGTTCAGCCATACACGCATTGACATGCGACGTGAGGACAGCACCGCAGCGATCCTGCGTTCAGATCTGAGTTTGCGGAACGCGTTAGTAAACCGGCCCGTCAGGTTTAGGGAGCCGACGGGTCTCAGCGCCGTCACCTATGACTACGTTCTGTGAAGTCTCTGAGGGCAGGGTGATGGAATCGCTGGCAGCTGCATAGTTTCCGAATGGAAACGCGTTTGTCTCATGACGCCGACAGCACACCGGGAAGAAAGTTTTGGGGGATGAAAAAAAACACATTCCTGTGGAGGGGAGTTGGTAGGAACGTTGGGTTGCTCGGTCAATGGCCAGGGTCAACGGCGGCGTGGTGTATTCCGCAAATATGGCCGACTGTGAGGGCAGGCACAAGCCAGCATAAGTAGGTTAAACGTTGAGTTTTATAAGGGCACCACGGGGTGACCAGCCCCTTCCCACCCAGCCCCACCCCTGCCACCCCCCACCCAGCCCCATTCTCCCCACCCAGCCCCTCCCCACCCAGCTCTTCCCCACCCTCCCCTCTCCACCCAGCCCCACCCCGCCCATTTTTGGATGCACGACGGACGGACACAATAATCCCCTGTGGGCTGGTGTAACCAGGAGGTTCCTACCAGTAAAACAGTGCTTATCTCCACTGGCAGTCGAGAGCCAGTGGTGGAAAATCCACATTCCTATGACAGGGATAATTATTTTCAATAGCATATATATATATATACACCAGCGTCAAAGTCTATCGCCAGTATACGACATGCAGTGTTGACAGGGTTCAACTTAAAGAGGGGATGGAAAAGGATACACGTGGTAACACACACACAACAAAAAATACACATACATTGAGTAACAATGTTCATTTAAAAAAATCACATGTGAAATTTGTTATGATTGTTTCTTCGACAAGGAACATGTTGGAGAGGTGACTTATGTGGTAAATAAGTTTCGCAAATATTTCCAATCAGCGAATGTGCCAGGAAATTATCATTATACACGGAGGAAAAACGAGTGTCGTTTCACCAGTGCTTCGCTCAACAAAGGTAGGAATGTGTCTTACTTGTCTCATAAAGCACGGAGTTCCCATGCTCACAAATACATCGAGTGGAAGGGCATAATTTTTATCAATGGATTTAAGCCAGCAGTAGGAAATTCCACATTCCCATGGTGGCGACCAGTCTCGCCACAGGTCAAACACCGTGACACAGTCTCCCCAAGTGGCGTCCATGTCACTAGGTCAGGTAAGATAACGAGAAACCACGCTGAGTTTTACAATTCTCCATTTAGATTTGAATAAAAGTTGTAGAGAAAATGAATAATAATCAATGTCCTACTTTTAAAAATGTATACCGATTTGACATTGTGGTGACGGTGATAATAGTGGTTGTGGTTATCATGATTTTTGTAGCAGTAGTGATAACATCTGATGGCGGTGATAGCGATGGTAGCAAAGGTAGGTGGTGGTGGTGATGATGGGGCGTAGTGGACCTCGGCTGAGAATCAAAGTCACGACCTCATAAGTGTGCGAGTCCTGATGCTCGACAAACCAAGTTATAACTCGAAAAAAATCACCGTGGTTAAATTTTTTTCACGTAAAAAAACATCGTGACTCAATTCATCTACATTGCTCTGCCAAAGAAATAACTAAATACGTCCACTCCAAAAATACATCTGCCAGCTGCCAAGACAACAAATCAATTAAGACAAATCCACACATTATTTCATTTCTGCTTCAAGCTACCCGTCCACCCGGAAAAACGTGTCTGCGTGGTTGCTGTGTGTTCTTTTAAACACGGGCGATTTGCGGGTAACAGAATGTAACCTCGCTCACGTCATGGCACGCACCCCCAGGGGCCGGACGAGAGACTCCACGCACGCACCCACGCTGGCGTCACTGCCATCGGCAGTCGCGGTGGGGGGGGGGGGTCTCTTAGCACAGGTCGGTTCGACACGACCTGCTCCTCGCCCAGCCCCGTAGCGTGGGGGTGGTGGTGGTGGTGGTCGGAGGGGACGAGCTCCCCCAACACAGTGTTGGTGTACGGTGCTTTTTCTGCAATATTTTGCTGTCTTTTCTTGGATTTTCTGTTTGCACTTAGTCACTTTAAGATGTTTTCTTGTTCATGTTTTTGTTTTTGTTTGTTGCGGTTGCACCCGATTCAAGAGCCGAATGGCTCACAGGGCTATACCTAATAAATGAAACTTTAAACTTGAAAACCCCGCTAATGAAAGTTTATCGCCCTTCTAAATTCTTATGGATGTACCTATGATGGAACGTAGCCAACCGTGCTAATCGAATCGCACCCATTGCTCGCGTGCGCCGACTTGATCTGTGGCAGTAACTCTCTTGTGAATGTGCAAGTCTTCACCTAACGACGACGGTGATATACCAGCCTTCCACACTTGCTGGAAGGGACTGCACAAAAATCGTAGCCTTTCCCCACACACACACCTACAAGGGGGTGGATGACAGTGAGAGGAGATTTCTGTACGGCAGGCAAAGGCAGATTGTATGAAAGTTTGTTTCACAATGTGTCGTGCCACCAACTCCAGCCCCATCCTTGCTGTGCGTTTAAACGATCACGCTACAGGATGGGCACCTGTGCGGCAGCGATGGGGTGCCATGGTGCAGAGATGTTAACTACCTCGCCCGGTCTACAGGAGGCCGTGGGTTCGATCCCAACCCTGACGCCGGCTGCATATTTGGAGTTTGCATGTTCTCCCCCGTGGTCGCGTGGACTTTTCTCCGGGTCCTCTGATTTCTCTCTCCACATTTGAAAACGTGCGTTTAGAGTATTTGGCTGCTATACTTGTCCACGTGATAAAACCACTTCGCTGAGCTACCCATGTGTGGCCAGGTCGCTTGTGAAAAAACAAGCTACATAGCTCAGTGGGCCTTAACTGGTAAAATAAAAAAAAATAGTTTTTAAATAGAATTTGGTTACCCCACCGGCCGGATTCCCTGCTCGCGATGCCAGCAACAAACAGCAAGCAGCCAGGGGCTGGAGGTGGGGTGGGGTGGCTGCAGGAAGACGCAATGCGGGGCTGCAATGTAAGACGGGGCGCGTTTCAAGGCCAACCGTGGCCAAATGCACTGCCAATGCCGCCCATTGAAGGATAAATAACGCTGCTGCTGCTTCTGCTGCGATGGCCCCATGGCGCTACTGAATGAGGGGAAAAAGGTCCCGTGCACACATTCCCGGCGGGCACGGCGACGATGCAGCTCTCCCACCCTCGCCTGTGACTCGGGATCTTGACTCGATTCAGGATCGTGAATCAATTCAACACTCAAGTGGGATTTCTCATGGTTTCATCTTGCTTTCTACTGTTCTGAAAAAGAACACTGTCCTCAAAATATTTTTTTTCACAAATGCTCTTTTCCATGTGTACATTTTTTTTCACGCACATTTGCATAAATGTAACATCGTATATAACTTGCATATTATTTGCATACGTTGTATGGAATAGATCCTGACTTGCCATGATTCGATGCATGTACCATGAATGCAAGGAGAGATTTTATAGGAGGAATTAATGGATAATTACATGCCAGAACACACGTACACATGTTGGACTCGCGTGCGCACACACAGAGTTGGATATGAACCCTCTTCAGTCTGGCTGAGCTGCAGTAGTGTTGCTAATGAGCGCCTATCAAGTGGGGTTTGTATTCCCTACATTTACAAAGACAAAAATCACCCCTATAGCCTTAGCAGACTATTGGGGCAAGTGCTGTTAGTGAGCACTGAAGAAGGCCTGCATGGCACACGAGGGGGTGGGTGGTCAGAACCACGCCCAGCCGCCTTTGTCTCCCCAGTGGCGATGTTTTAACACCACACCAGGTAGTCATTTGAGGCTGAGTCGACCTAGGGGAGGCCCAGCACCGGCTCAGATAATCGTCACTGGTGTTGGCCGTGAGCGGGAATTGAACTCGCGTTGCCGGGTTCGTAGCGCACCACGCTAACTGCTACACTCTGGGGGAGGTCCCCTATAGAGTCACAAACACATAAACGCACACCGGAACGCGTGTTGCAAGCATAGTCAGAGTTGGCATCCCTCCTTTTAAGTGTAGGATTCAATTGCTGTGAGCAAATGCTTGGTGGCGGCGGTGTGGTCAGGGCCACGCCCGGACGCATTGTACAGCGTGCTAACGTGGTCAAATCACAACGTGATCTCATCTTGGGCCGAGATGAATCACGTAGGGATGGACACGCAGCGATTGCCGCATAGAGATGGGACGCACACAAACGGACAGACAGAAAGGCACACACACAGACAAAGACACACTTCAGCAGCACACGATGGTAACGCACAGATGGACAAACAAGGTCACACGCACGGATGGACATGGACTCACACTGATGGACAAAAAGACAAAGATCCCCCGTATAGCCTTAACAGACTGTTGGGGCAGGGGCAGCGAGCACATATGAAGGCCGGGTCGGCACACGAGGGGTGGGTGGCCAGC